CGTAAATTCATAAATCATCTTTCAAGGTTTATTACATAATTTACTAAAAGTAAATATGCTTTGGGGACGGTGCTACATTTTGGCCGTCCAGCCGCCATTAAGGCCATTTCGTCCTCAGATTTTATGCCATCAGAACTTTCACCAGAGGAAGATGAAGTGCTAGGAAGGTCCTCCGCCTCAGCCCTGGTATTTGTCGCCGTTTCAGTAGAACCACCGGCGAATGGGACTGTGATGACGTCCACAATAGCAGCGTCACGGTCATCTCCATGGGAGGCCATCTCCGAAACAGAAGAATGCTGTTTGGGACTCATCTCGGTCGAGCCAGAAATGAAGATAAGGAACAGCAGAGGGAGGAAAGGTACCTGAACGATGGAAGCTGGGAGAAAATTACAGGGGAATCAACAAGGCGCAGAGAATTGCAGAATCGAAACCCGGATTTGAGAAGTTAAAGGCTAATTTATAGCCTTGAAACCGCCGTGTCAAGAACCAATCAGGGGGCGACACGTCACTAGAAGCATTTAAGCTAAACATGTGTCTAATGAAAAGACTAAACGACGGTTACCATGATGAATATGGGGAAATGAAGCGGCAGCCGTCAAATCACAGCATGGGGAACTGATTACTTCTGTACCCCGATCGCCATTCGGCGGATTGCAACATTGGTATTCATACTTCCTAATGCACTCACTGTTGTTCGAGACATCGGAAGTGGGGGAATTGTGTTGGGATATTGACCTAGAGGCCCAATACCCGGATCAAGAAGGCCCAAGATACCCGGCCCAAGCAACGGGCCCATCACTCTATGATAAGATAATCAAGGTAGAATTAATGCCGAACGAGATTCGGTCCAAATAAGGGTTGGCCCAGTAAGAAGACATACCGAACGGAGTTCGGACTATATATTATACTTGGGCCAATTTGACAGCATCTTCAGCATAGCCCAACATCTCGTTCGAGCAACGGCCAACCGGCAAGTGGCCAGGTGCAATTAATGCCAGATTGTGACATCAGCAAGTGGAAACATGGGTGACCAAGTCGGTGGAACAACGGCCAATCAGCATAGGGCAGCCCATGCTCTCCATTAGTATAAATAGAAGGTTTTAAGTCATTGTAAGGGTTAGCATTTCAATACTCAGGCTCTAGAATAGCATCATTGCTCTTATTTCTTGTATTAAAGTATTGTTTCCGACCTACCGATCGGGAAATTCCTTGTAATCAGACTGGTTAGTTAATACAAGTGAGCTTTCGAGTATTAGTGAGTTCATATTTTATATTTTGTTTATACACCTTGATTCTGTGCCATTCCTGATATATCCAAAGTTCGTGTTGGGCTTTCGGATCTACGGGATTTACCTTCAACAAACCCTATGAGCTTTGTTATGCTAATTGAAAGCCATTCACTCTGATTAGCAATGTTATTCTTGATGGACTTGAAAGAAAATTGGAAATTTAAATCTGAAAATGAAGATTGTAAGAACACAGTACCTCATAGAGATGAAAAATCGAGATTTGTTAGGCTAATTGAAAGCCATTCACTCTGATTAGCAATGTTATTCTTGTAGAATTTGAAAGAAAATTGGAAATTTAAATCTAAAAATGAAGATTGTAAGAACACAGTACCTCATGGAGATGAAAAATCGAGCTTTCTTAGGCTAATTGAAAGCCATTCACTCTGATTAGCAATGTTATTTTTGAAGAACTTGAAAGAAAATTGGAAATTTAAATCTGAAAATGAAGATTGTAAGAATACAGTATACCTCATAGAGATGAAAAATCGAGATGGAGTGCCACACCCACATATTCGCCGGTAAGGGAATTGACGAACGAAGGTATGGATATGGATGAATGACACTGAGGCGACGACACATATCTTCGCCGACAACCGAATTGACAAACAAAGCTATGGCTGATCGAAAGACCTTGATCGATTCAAAAGGCTGGCGTGATATAAAGGGTTGAGCGTTGAGGCGTGAATTCGAACGGTGAGAAAGTGAGAAGGTGAGAAAAAATTGACTGAAATGGGAGGAGACATTTCTGGGAGAGAAGATAAAGGGTAGGTCAAAACTGATAAGCCGTAGATTGAGGTTCATAAAATCGTACGGGTGACAGGAAGAGTTCTGGTGGGCGGAAAGTTCTGTTCTGGAATTGTAGTGCTATTAAGGAGGGGATTGAAAGAAAATTGGAAATTTAAATCTGAAAATGAAGATTGTAAGAATACAGTATACCTCATAGAGATGAAAAATCGAGATGGAGTGCCACGCCCACATATTCGCCGGTAAGGGAATTGACGAACGAAGGTATGGATATGGATGAATGACACTGAGGCGACGACACATATCTTCGCCGGCAACCGAATTGACAAACAAAGCTATGGCTAATCGAAAGACCTTGATCAATTCAAAAGGCTGGCGTGATACAAAGGGTTGAGCATTGAGGCGTGAATTCGAACGCTGAGAAAGTGAGAAGGTGAGAAAAAATTGACTGAAATGGGAGGAGACATTTCTGGGAGAGAAGAGAAAGGGTAGGTCAAAACTGATAAGCCGTAGATTGAGGTTCATAAAATCGTACGGGTGACAGGAAGAGTTCTGGTGGGCGGGAAGTTCTGGTCTGGAATTGTAGTGCTATTAAGGAGAGGATTCAACCCGAATTCGTTGTTTTCTATAAATAAGGCCTCCATAGCCCGTTTCAGGGGATTATGAACATTACGGAGAGGCCTAGGGACGAATTTACTTGCGTTTTTACGTTGTTTTCTTCAAGAACCCTGAGATTATTTGTAAGTTCATCTTTTTTATTAATGACAATTATTTCTATTATTCCCAATTCTGTTGATTCTTCAATTATGATTTGTGAGTAGTTTAATTTGAGATTTGGGGTTGATGAAGGTGTTGATCATGACGTATGGCTAGATTCTTGATGGTTTAATTGCATGAATGCCGTTTAATTTGTGTATGAATAATTTAACTAATATCTTTTGTGACCTAGACTGCAGCTAGAATTACAATTGCATGTAGAATAAATTAAGATAGATCTAATTTCTTCTAGGACTCATTCACACACACTTAATCGTTCGCTAAGAGATTCGTAACGATTAAGGGGCCATAAGCTCGCTCGTCTTGGCAATAATTTAGGATCCTTTCGCATGAGAGATCTGTGTGGTCCCCTAAATTGTTGTACTCTACGCCGTGAGAGTGGTATGAACTCAGTAATGATTAGCTAGGGTCAATTAAAATAAATTCATGTGATTAAGCGTGATCTGCCAGAAACCTGGTTAATCCCGGAATCAATCCATGCTCCCTTCGGCGTTAATTAAGAAGTAACCAAACTTTTTATTTGCCCATCCGCATTAGTTTTAGTTTTAGCTCATTCAACTAATCTCGCACATCGCATTTATTTTTATTTATTTATTTTTTTAATTGCTGAATTTAGTTAAACCTTAATTCCCTTTTTTCCATCTCTGTGGAAATGATACTCGTACTTCAACCACTTTTCTACAATGACCTCGGGGGGCTACAAATTTTATCATTTCAACATTTTGCTTGTTTTTCCTATTTTATTTCCGCGGAATAAAAGAATAAAGGCATGACGCCCCGATTCATCGGATCATCATGAGGGGGAGAGTGGTCCACATGCTGTTAACTCTCAACAAATCATTCTCGGACACTTCTCTCCTCCAACACTTTCTCTACTATCTCTATCAAAAGCTTCAAATGGACAACTACACTCACAAATCTACCATCATTTTCCGCTGTGCAACCGACAAGTTCTCCTCAAACGCATTCACTTCAAATAGTCAAAAAGACTACATTGTGGAGGAGACAAAGGTCAGATCAAGAGCTACTTCTGGAAGGCAAGGATTACAAGCAAAAGATTCCTCAACTCCCGACATCAAAGATCGAATTGACAAGAAGACATCACAGGGGAGATTGCAAGGATTTGTTCATAAAGCCTTCTCAAGAAGTCAAGTTCAAATACAAAGGAAGCTGAATAATAACAAATACAAAGATATATGCGCTGCAATGCTGCTTGAACACGATTGAACACCAAGGGGGAGATTGTTGGGAATATTTTATGGTGTCCAATCTAGTTAAATATCTTTGTATTTGTATAGTTATTAATTAAATGTGTAATATGGGCCACAAATGTGTATCAACCCATTAGCTTCTTTGTAATCCATAAATTAGCCATCATCTCCTATAAAAGGAGGCTAACTTATGGAAACCCTAAGGTTTCGAGAGTATAGAGGCGAGAGATAGAGAGATTAGGTTTGCCGCTGCTCTCTCTGTTGAGGGAGAGCAGCGGCCAGTCCACGGTATACCATAGTCGTTTATTATCTCGATATCTTTCTATATGCTTCTTCTTCACTGTCTATGATTGTTTGATTGTTAGAAATAGGGACTTTCAGGGGTCGAGGAAGTGGATCCAAGCCCACCTTTGCTAGTCTACCACAGACAGGGATGGGATTGAGCCCACCTTCATGGGTTGGCTCTAGTTATTTTAATTAATTAGTTTTAATTATTCCTAATAATTAGTTTCCTAGAATGGTTTGATTAGGACTTCTATTCTTATTAGAATTAGAGGTTTCCTATTCTATTTAGTTTCCTAGTATGATTTAATTAGGACTCCTATTATGTTTCTTACTAGGATTTAGTTTCCTATTCAGTTTTGGATGTAAGGGTTATAGAAACCCCCTGCCTAGGCTTATTCAAAGGAGTCATTAATAGTATTCGATTTTAGCTATTTAGCTTGGGCAATGGATTTTACCTTTGATTTTTATTTCCGTTCTTACCAAACATTGACTAAAGATGGAAACCCGCAACATACAACCTTGTGGAGATTACAACTCATGTGTGCTGGGCTACACTTCTGGAGCACGCAGGTACAAAGTGTACCATAATTGGAGTAACTAAGTCACCGTGACTTACAATCTTCTAAATATCTTATCTGTCCGGGCGTGTGAGACCCTTGAGATTGGAGATTTAACCTTTTAGAACAACCGAGATAAGTGAAAAGATTCTGCTACATTAATTTACATTTACCATATTAGATTTTACATAATGTAAGTACTTTATTTGTACAAGCACTAGAAGTGTGTAAATATTTACACAAGACACCGTTTGAAAACTTATTGTGAATATTCCTTTAGAAAAGATTTAAAGTGTCAGAGCTTGTGATGGAGATGTGGTAGGAACAAAATGTGATCCACCCTTCACCGATGCAAATGTCAAATATGTGACATTGTTTTTTTCTCTCAATTTCCCAAATGTTTCCCTCCACCCTCCAACCTACAAAAAAGTAGAAAAAAATAAGAAATGTCTCAACACCAGGTTTGTGTGATTGTGTCCATATGTTACCACAATTTGGGTATTTGGAACCCCATGCTCCGAAACATGGGGTACGTGTGGGTGTATGACATCAATTGGCACGATGAATAAACAATAAGTTCCAAAACATTTTAGTATTAGAACCTTCCCTCAACCAAATGAAGTATTGATGGTCATGCCTATTTGCCATTTTTCATTTTACAGAAACCTAAACATTTATTAATCTGAAAAAATGATCGAAAATGTTATAAAAGGGCGACGTATTAAGTTTCTCAAAACTAAAAAAACGAATAAGAAAACTACCAGGAATAAAAATGAAATATATCGCAGTAATTAATTTAAATGGCTTTACCTGAAGGCCATTGTGCCATGGTCTATTCTTCTGCAAATAGTCGAGCTTCAAGTGTTTAACTAGCATGCGTGCGAATGTCCTGGTCTCTACAACAGGAATGGATGCATCTTGATCTCCACTGCAATAACTTGTTGTTATTGTTAAATACGTAGTACTTCGTAATAAATTTGACTTAGACCATAATAACTACTCGATAATCTTAGTTATTGGGAATGTTAATAATAGGGTAGTAAACAAACTGAATCAAGTCGATTAGTGAGATTTAATATTCATATTTTTTTATATGAATTTGAATATGAAACGAATATTAATTTTGATTTTGATTTATATTTGTTTAACAATATGAATAATTAACGAATCATATATGAATATCGAATTATTTTGATTATAAATTAAATATTAGTCAATTATCTATTTAAAACAGTTTTTCCTATATTTTTATGCTATAAATGCATGAAATGACTTAATATGTGTCTTTAAAATTTAATTTGTAACATTGCCTTTTTCTTTAAAATTTAATGGATCGTTGCGTTTTTAGGTTGTGCAAAATATACTAAAGTGAATGAATTTTATGATCAATTAACATGCGTGAATCTATTTCAAAGTTTTTGAAATAGACACTAACACATACAAATTAGAAATTATACACATAATGTGAGAAACAAATTGAAAACTATATCAAAGTAAAACGACTCTAATTTTATGTTAAATGTTTAACATTGTTAATAATAAAAAAAAAATTATATATATGGTCTATACTATACACACATATACTAGATAGTTGATGTTATATATGTATAAATGAATATATTTGATTATTCTTCGAATCGAATACATAATTATTTGTTTTTGTATTTGAAAGATGTTTGAACCGAAAATCGGATATGTATTTATATTTGTAGTCTATATTTTCAAATACAAATCATATTTTTTGAATCCAAATCAAGAATCGAATCAAAATTGTTTGCTTCATTTGCAATCCTTACTTCATATGATACTTCTGATTTTTTACAAATGGGTTTTGTATACGTAAATATATAAATATATGAGATACACTTTGAGGGTATAACTAGCGTTTAAAATTTATTATAGTGTTATTACTATTATTATATATTACTATTATTATTATGCTATTATAAATATTACTCCGTATTAATCAAATATATTTGATTAACATTCAAATCAAATATACTGATATTATTTGTATTTGATAACAACTCGAATGAAATTTAATATTCTTATTTGTATTTGTATTTTATTTTTTTGAATTTCAATAGTCTCATACGAATTCGAATCCCGAACCGAACATAAAACGTTGACCTTCATGTCTGCGTTCCATTAGTGGTTCCGATAACAAATGGCAAAATAAAACTTGATTATATTGACTTTTTTTTGTCAATGGTGACCAAATTTGACCATTGATATTTTTAATAAGAAATGTTTTCCAAATTAAGATTATCGTGTTTTTATTATCTAAACAGGAGTAATTGTTTCTAAATTTGGAAAATACTACTCCGTATTATGTTTGAAGCAGGATAATGACAAAACATGAGAGTAATTAATAATTTACTCATATTTAGAAATAAAACATATTAGTCCTATTTTAGAATTCACCATCATTTTTATTCCTATTTAGGACATTTTATTATATAATAATTACCTGTAAAACATGATTGGAATATGCCTCTTTAAAAGTGTTGCTAGTGTATGAAAGTTTTTAGTAGTATATGCGTCCTCCTTAAACTTCACTGGCCTGCATTTTTCATATTTGATTAGAGTTTCGCCATATAACCTTTGTTAGTTTTCACATGTATACAAATAAACCAAAGTGGATAAGAAAATACCCATGACAAGTATCCCAATGATATGGTAAAGGAGTCCTCTTCACGTGAAAAGCTTTTTGAACATCTTGCTTATTTAAATAGGCAAATGTATTTTCAGAAAGGCAAGGATAACCAATGGCGTTTTCACTACCCTGCTTCACAGTTGAAAACCAAACTTGCTTAGAATTTATGAAAGAAATTAGTACGTACTCCAAAGCTTGATTGTCACAATAAAGACGAGTTGGAGACGTGTGTATGACACCCAAGGAACGAAGAAGACTCCGCAGCCAAATAAGCTCACACGTCAAGGCTGCCATGGCCCTATACTCGGCCTCAGCTGAGGAACGAGAGACCATTACCTGCTTCTTGGTACACCATGAAATAGGTGACATCCCAAGAGTAACAAAATAACCTATGACAGATCGCCGTATAAGAGAGCAACTGGCCCAATCAGCATCACAAAAACCTGTCAAAGATAAATCAGAATGGGAACTAATTAAGTAGAATGCCTCGGCCAGGGCTGCCTTTAAGATACCTTAAAATACGAACCACGGCATCCCAATGTTCCACTCTCGGAGAGTGCATAAATTGTGACAAGAGATCAACTGAGTAACAGATGTGAGGTCGAGTGAGAGTAAGATAAATGAGCTTGCCCACCAACCGTCTATACCATTCTGGATCTGAGAAGAGTGGGCCATCTGCCGACTGCAAGCCATGATTCGAAATCATAGGAAAATATACCGATTTGGCACCTGTCATACGAGTCTCAGCCAGAATGTCGAGGACATATTTTTGTTGACACAAAAATATGCCTGTAGGATTACGCACCACCTCGATGCCCAAGAAAAAATTCAGAATACCTAAATCCTTGACAGGAAAGGATTTAGACAGATGCCTCTTAAAAGCCGTAATCATGTCGCGATCGTTTCTGGTTATCAGGAGATCATCCACATAAATGAGTACACACAAAATACGATCATCCCGTCTCAGAGTGAAAAGAGAGTAATCAGCATTAGACTGTACGAATCCATAAGCACACAACGAAGTGGTCAATTTGGAAAACCAACATCGAGGGGCCTGTCTCAATCCATAAAGAGAGTGTAGTAAACGACGAACCTTCCCTGGGGAGGCAGCCGTATACCCAGGGGGCAGGTGCATTTATGTAGACCTCTTCATGTAAGTCCCCATGCAAGAAAGCATTGTCCACGTCCATATGATGTAGCTCCCAATGCCGATGAGCTGCAACCGCTAAAATAGTACGAACAGTGACCATTTTAGCCACCGGTGCAAATGTCTCGCCATAATCAACCCCTTGCACTTGTCGATTCCCACACACGACCAATCTTGCCTTATTTCGTTCCACCGAGCCATCATTCTTATATTTGATCTTGTAGACCCACTTGCAAAATATTGCCTTCTTCCCTTTTGGTAAATCTTGGACTGCCCATGTACCGGTTTGCTCCAAGGCATCAATTTCCCGCTGCATTGCTGCTTTCCATAAAGGGTCACAGACTGCTTCTTTGAAATTCTCGGGCTCCTTATGCACTGAAATTGCTGCAAGAAAGGCTCGATGCGCTACCGAAAATGGATTATAATTTACATAATGAGATATGTAATACGGATTACCTGAGTCAACCATCGAAAGTGTGTCAAAGTCGGGGGGAGAGTTTATTGTTAAGGTGTTCAGCTGGACATCATAATCCTTGTGCCAAGATGGTGTTGTTCGAGTTCGAAGTCCACGTCTGGGTACCACTAGACGATCGTTTTCGGTTGCTGAGTCAACAACTGACTGCTGCCATGTATCAATGTTCCCATCTTGTGTTCTTGGTCCAACTCGTCTGCCACCCGGATCACTTGAATTTTGATCCTAGTTCTGCCCATCCACATCAGAAGGTGGAATTTTCCATGCACCACTTGGTATTATGTCAATATATGTGTCCTCCGAAACCGTGGCAGGCAAGGTTGCCTGCTGTTGTGAATTATCCTCCAATTTGCTCTCATGTCCATCACTCTCAAAGCCCGTTTTAAATGGAAAGGCATCTTCAACAAATTTTACATCTCGAGAGACAAAATGCCTATTATTTTCAAGGTCATAAACTTTCCATCCCTTTTGAGTGTAAGAATATCCCAGAAAAATACATTTATTCCCTCTGGATGCAAATTTATCACCCTTAATATCCTTGGAATGTGCATAATATAAAAACCCAAATACCCTCAAGTGAGTGTAAATTGGTGGTTTATGGTATAAAAGCTCATAAGGACTTTTATTCTCTATGACCGGGGATGGTAGTCGGTTAATTAAATACCCTGCTGTCAGCACACATTCCCCCCAAAAGTGAATTGGTAAATTGGCATGAAAACGTAAAGTTCTTGCAACTTCCAGTATGTGTCTATGCTTCCTTTCAACCCTACCATTCTGTTGTGGTGTGTAGACACATGAACTTTGAAACAATATCCTTTGACTCAAAAATATTCTCTCATTCCCACAAACTCTTTGCCGTTATCACTTCGAACCACTTTAACGGGTTTATCAAATTGTCGAATTGTCATTGCAAAAAAAATTCAAGAATATTTTTCACCTCACTTTTATCCCGCATTAAATGAATCCATACAGCTCGCGAAAAATCATCAACAATCGTTAAAAAATATCGTGCACCACAAGAAGCCAAAGTCCTATAGGGACCCCCAAACATCACAATGTATTAACTCAAAAGGTTCTAAAGCTCGAGCACAACTAATAGCAAAATTATCTCGAGTCTGTTTCCCATGAAAACAAGTTTCACATGAACATATTCCGAACAAATTATCTTGGTGATTATTAACGCCACAAACTAAACGCAAAACTTTAAAAGATGGATGCCCCAAACGAGAGTGCCACAAGTCACCTGAATCGTAATCCTTTACCGCATTTGCTTGAGCTCAGTCCAAACTCCTAAAATAATAAACTCCCCCACGATGATCACCCACTCCAATCGGCATCCTCGTAAATAGGTCATGTATCACACATAAATCATTAGTAAACAATATATCACATTTTCGGGCATCAATTAACTGTGCCAAAGAGATAAGGTCGCAACAAAGTCCAGGCACTAGTAACACGTTTTTTAAAATTAATTGTTCACTCAACGTCGCTTCACCAACATGGCTTGCTTGAACCTTATCCCCGTTCAGCAGTGTCACCATAATAGGTGAAATTTTGCTGATCTTCTTCAATCGTCCAGATGTACCTGTCATATGGTGCGACGCACCTGAGTCCAAAAGCCAGTTATTATCAACTCCCATACCTGTGAGTTTTTCCTCTGAGGAGGACGGCTTACAAGTCTCAATCATTTTAAGCAACTTTTGCCACTGATCATCGGTAAATCCCGGTCTATGAATGTCAGTCCCTTCACGGACAGCTGTTGGTCCCTCCCGGTCACTGCCCACATGCATGGCGTGTGCTGCTATACGTCCACGTCCACGGCCAGTCCCTCCACGTCCCCGACCGCCTCGCCCACGGTTGGGGTTTTCGTACCACCACTCGGGAAATTTTCCCGTTCGCCGGAAACAATTTTCAACTCCATGTCCGGTCTTGTTACAATACGTGCACTTTGGTCTCTCGTCTTTTCATCCTCCATCATTAGCTGCCTTTGCTGTCAACGCCATAGTTTCTGTTTTGTCTTCACGTCCACAAGCCATATTTTGATGTCGTTCCTCCTGTATTATCATATGGTAAATTTTGGTGAGTGATGGTAACTCGTCCAGGCCTAGTATGTTTGACCGTAATGTCCCGAAGGCATCATGATCCAGTCCCATCAGGAACTCATGTGTCTTAACGTGTTACTAGTGCCTGGACTTTGTTGGTTGAGTTGAGTTGAGTGAACAATTAATTTTAAAAAACGTGTTACTAGTGCCTGGACTTTGTTGCGACCTTGTGGTGGAGGTTAATTGTCACCATAAAAAACCTTTGAATCTTAGGAATGGCCGGTGGTTGAGTTGAGTTTTCGGGTTTCTCCTCCGGTTGAGCTTTCTCCGTAAGCTCCTCTTCTTCCTCCTCCTCGCCCATGTGGTTCACAATGCTTTGGCATTTGTTTCAACTGATTGTCCAAGTTCTGTTTGTTGGACACTGCTTCTTGCGAGCATTGTGACATATTTTGTTGCATATTTGTCACATTGAAAGTGAGAACTCGGATCATGTCTTCAGTGGACATGCTGGAATAAGAATATGAGTATGAGCTATATGTGTTGGAGAATGAATCATACCTCTCTTGGAAACCAACACCATTCCTTTGTTCAAAGAATTCTTCTCGAAGCTCTGGGCAAAAGTCTGTAAGATGCCTTTGTGACATGCAAATGTTGCATGAATGGATATCTTGATATTTTGAACATGAGATAAACTCCTTTATTAGAGAAGTCAAGTCGGAAATTTGACTCTCTAGGGATGATGTGTTGGTATCCATTTACTCATGCAAGCTCAGAAAATAGAAAAGTAAGATTTTTCTTTATATAATTTTTTTTTATTTTTTTGATTTTTATGAGATAAAATAAAAAGAAAAATAATTGCCCATCCCCGGCAACGGCGCCAAATTTGACGAGCACTTTGTCACGGTGCGTCAAAATAAATTCAATACTAAACACTTATACGTAGTATAGCGTAGTAGAGTTCGTATCCACAGGGAAAGGAAAATTTTTCTTTTTATGATACTTAGTAAATAAAAGGGGGATTTGGATTGAGTGATTTAATTTAATTAAGAACTAAGATGAACAACCTATATGAGATTTAATTCAAAGATAAAAAGGACTTGGCATTGCTACTTTCCACTTGTTGATATATTTTAGTCGATCATTGTTATATCTATAACTTATTCCCTCTCGAACACTCAATCGGGGAGTATATCCACTTCATCGAGGGTAGTTATTAACAACGACCGTTCATTAATAACCCTTACTATTAATCAAATATAGAACAACGCCTTATACCGATTTAATAGTAGCATTTAATCTTTCTAACTCCTTGATGAAATCAATTGAGATTGATAACCTCAACACAAGCGGTTTCGGTTTAACCAACAAAATTAATCCCTCTTAAGTTTATTAACCACGACCGTGCATTAATAAACCGAAGTTACTTACTTGTGAAACCATCAACGATTAACAATCGGTTCGTTGATCGTTTCTAGTAATAATTAATATATGAAACAAAACTAGTTGATGTTTTAAGTGATGTTCAAATTATTAATATGAAATATGAGTAGGGATTAATTAATATTCAAGGAAGAATATTATTAAAGAAGATGAATCCTACTATAATTAATATCAAGATGTTAACTAATTGTCATCTTAGCAACACTCCCCAATATTAATATAGAGGAAGAAAATACCATTCTAACTAATGTCGAGATGTTAACTAATTGTCATCTTAGCAACACTCCCCAACATTAATATAGAAATGGTATTAAGGAAAGAACTATTAATTAATATTCTAGGAAAGAAGTTAAGAAAATAACTCACAACTTTAATAATCAACAAGCTTCAAGAGCAACACCAAGAATGGAAGTTTAGCTCCTCATTTGGAGGCTAAACATAGCTAGAAAAATATAAAGAAATGCTATTCTAAACTGAGCTAAAGAGTATGGAAGAAGGGATTATTTTTTTGTGAAGAAAAAGTGTGCTATTTATAGGTGTTTTTCAACACCTTTGGCCGGGTACTCGACCGGGTCAAGTACTACCCGACCGGGTCCGGTCAAAATCAGATAATTCGCCACGTTCTGGTGATCTTCGCACGTCATTTTGTCCCGGGTCACATCTGACCCGACCGGGTCAAGTAGGGGACCCGACCGGGTCCAGTGACTTTCTTGGCAATTTCGTCAGTTAAATCATACCCGACCGGGTGGGGGTTTCTACCCGGTCGGGTTTCACTCCTGGGCAGTCAAATTTCTTGTTTTCTTCTCTTCAAAGTCTTCCTTTCCAACACCACTAATCCTAACTATACTTTACAACTTATAAATAAAGAATAAAATACAATTACAACTGAAATTACATAAATGTTTACAAACTAAATAAAATGTCAAACAATCAACATAAATCAAACATAAAAACATGCAATTATGCACTACTAATTAGTGTGCATCATGCTGCGCGAGGCCGATGATCAAAGATGAAGAACAGAACATCATCTTGGATACGTATGGCTCCCCGTTGCTTTCGTTCAACCATCTTCTCATCAATCCTCTGTGCCACCCTTTGGCCTTACGCTGCGCAAGGCCGATGATCAAGATGAAGAATAGAACATCATCTTGGAGACGTATGGCTTCCCATGGATTTCCTTCAACCATCTTCTCACCGTCCTCCGTGCAGCCCTTTGGCCTTACGTTACGCGAGGCCAATGATCACGATGAAGAAAAGGACATCATCTTGGAGACGTATGGCTTCCCATGGCTTTCATTCAACCATCTTCTCATCGGTCCTCGGTGCCAGCAGAATACCCCGGCTCCGCCTCCTGCCCGTTCGCCAAGCGGTGGATGGTATCCGCCATATCCCTTAGGGTATTAGGGAAGCCATACCCTATGGGTATGTGCCCAATTTCCCAGCAGCTTCCGTTTTTAACTCATACCCGACCGGGTAAGTTACCAAATCACATTGTTAGCGTGATTTCTTGCTCCCTTGCACCTTTCTTTGTTCTTGTAGGATCCCTTTCATGATCCTTTGTTGATACTTGATTGATTCTTGCTCAAGATGATTCTAAATTTACTAAATTACAACAAACTAGAAAAATAAAATGATTGCAGCATAAATGTGCAATTACCACAACAACACACCGTAAAAACTAATTAAAAGTATAAATATAAACACTCAAAAACCAATGCAATCAGCCTTCAAACGTCCATAATATGTCATGACAGGCTGTCCATTCTGCCGACACGAACCGATTAATTCGTTTAATTCATGCGTTCGCATGGCATCTCCCAAAGCGAACCTTGCCTTCAAATCCTTCCATAAATCGTGTACATTGTCCATGTAGGTGAGATTGCATCTAAGTGGTGGATCAACCGAGGTCATGACCCAACCCACCAACATGGAGTTCACACTCATCCAATCTTCAAGATCATTCACGTTATCCAAAGATTGTTCAATAGTACCATCAAGAAATTGTAGGGTGTGTCTCGGAAAAACGAAGAAATATTAATTAAATAAAATTAATTAATAAATAAAATAGCCAAAAGAAAACAGAAAATAGATGGAGCAGATTTTAGCCAGAGCTCGTGCAACGCACGATGTCCTTAAAACGTATTCGTCGCCTTCCACATTGTCAGGAGCGTTGCAATGACCGTTTCCCAGGATACGGTGGCTAAGGAACTAACGTTTGAGCACACAAACGAGAGTTCCGGCGAACGGGAAAAAAGGAGAACACTCAGGAAATTTTCAGAGTAGCTGGAGGTATTTTTAGCTTAAAAATTGAAATTCATGAGGAATGTATTGTGCGTTGTGTCTTGTTGCAAACCATCTGCCAGCTATTCATAGGAGAATTTGTGGTGTGTTAACCGAGATTTAATGGACCTGAACGTTGTACATAAATTTCCAGCACGTTGGGCATTAATATGTCAAAAAAACTGTCCATTAAAAGATAAGAACGTTGGGCATTAACTTCTGTAACGACTTGGAGCAGTTCTGGTGCATGACCAGAGTACCCCCACCAGAGATGCTCTCTTTGTGACCAGAACACCCCACCAGAGGTGCTCTCTGGTCTTCTGTTGGGAAGGCACCAGAACACCACACCAGAGGTGCTCTCTGGTATTCTGTTTGGAAGGCACCATAACACCCCATGTGGTCTTCTGTTCGGAAGCCACTAGAAACGCTCAGGTCTTCTGGTGCGGAAAACTGAAACCGTAACGAGAAGAAGCAAAAATTAAATCATATCTTTGAATAATAGATTTTCGGACGACATTCGTGTCCGCAGGTCGCCCGCGCACACGAGTCGCGGTTTTTCTTCTCCGTTTTCGGGATTTGATCAGCACCCCCCTGCGCGCGAAGAGAGCTTTTCCCTGTAGGAATCGTAACTCCTTCAAGGTGGGTTCCCTTTATAAAGGGGTGAAAATCCATTGGGTTTTCTGATGTGGGATAAATCCCACTAGAAACCCATCATTTTCCTAGTTTTCTCCATTTCAACGAGTGAACTTCGAGAATCAATTTCTCATTCACCCGTTATCCGTTTTGAGTGTACCATATATCGAATTGTAGCCCTTAACAAGGACAATCCGAAACCACTTTGACCCGACCCAAATCGGTAGTGGACCTCACTCAAATAATTTCCCCAAAATGACCATTTAATGCAATGTATTAACTCATTTTCCAACAGAAATTCCACCTTTAGTTTTGCCCGAAAGGCGTTCTTCATCGCCGTAGCCCATTCTCGATAATTGTTTTTCCCTTCAGAACCACTCCACAAACATTCTGACCTGGAAAGTCTGAATTCGGGATAAAATAGGGAGAACTCGAATCATTTATCTTCCGTCGATCAGCATGTGCGTCGCTGCCCTGGGTTCCGCCGCCGCCTGCCATGATGAATTGTCATAGTCGTCCAGGATTCTAATGAACCCGCTCTGATACCATGAAGAATTAGATACGTCAATGGAAATTGGTTTTTTTATCTATCCAACAATGGTGTACAAAGGCAAAATATATACAAGTTGTGCAACTGGCCAAAGAGGCTACTAGACTGCCGAACTCTAAGCAAAATTATAAGGGAATAATAAATGAGAAATAAAGTCCAAGTGGAACTCTAACGACACCTACCGTAATATACCCGCACGGGTAGCTCAGTTGGTCGAGTGGTGGGAGATTTGGATCAATGGACCAAGGTTCGAATCCCTTCAGTGATCGGGTGGAGGTCACAGAACCTGAAATAAGGTTGGACCTCTTGTGCGCACGGGTGTATGGGTCTACTGCCATTCTGCTGACTGAGTCACCATGACTAACCTTCCCACCATCCTGTCGGGTCAAGGTGGGGGGGCCCTGGGGTGGGAGATTCCACCTATTTATGGATCAATGAAACAAGAAATACACAAACACAAAATGGACTCTAACAAACTTTGTTAACTTTTCATTTTTGTTTGTCATAAAAATTTTGTCACTTTTCTTTTAAATTAATGAATTCGTAATTCTCCTATTTCATTCTTTTATGTACAAATCTCAATCACACAGTTTTTATTTTTCTTATTCAACATTCAAATTGAAGTGTGCAATATTGAGTGGGATGAAGGAATGAGTTGTGCCAGGTGTACATTATTTTGTGTAAATCTTTCATACACTTGTCTGTCTCACGCACACAAAGTTGTGTGTACACAGACATTTTTTTTTTGAGAGTAAGAGAATAAGATTGCTTGTTAGACAAATGTGTTTGTATAAAAGATAATTGTATAAAAAATGTACACCAAACATTTTCTCGAAAAAATATTAAAACATGTATTTACATGTCTTACCAAACTTGAGGGTGCACATTTTGGGGAAATCAAATCATCCATATCAAAGTCCTCCCCCATCTCCTCATCCATCACATGTGACACTATCTGACAATCTTTGGTATAATTACCATGATGCCCCTCGTAGAATAGTTTTTCATAGCTACAAACCGTCTTTAGCATAGTGTGCAACTCTTGAGATATGACTCCGTGGTACCATAGATAGCCAGCTGAATCTGTACCCGGAATGCCACTACCCGGGTTCCCAAGCTGATATGGTTTACAAAAAAACATAAAATCTTATGAATTGCTGAATATGAAAAAAAGTTCATGTTAACTCAAAATGTAATAAAACAAAAGAAAAACTCACAGCAATGCCTTTTAACTTGATTGGCATACCATTGTTTTTATTGTATTCAAGCACTAATGAAGCAAGTCGCGGTATTAAGTGCCCTATAAACATATGGTGTAGAACTTTAAAAGATGTTTATTTAAAGATTATTCCTTAAATTGAGAAAATTGTTTACCTGGGGAGCCATCTCCTGCCAAGTAAAAATCTGAGTTTCGGTATTTAGGAAATTTCTCAAACCACTTGAGGATAAACTTCATATTTTCATTTACTGTATAATAGAGCCCAAAAGGATTAAAAAGTGACAGGCCATGAATATCTCTCATTTACAAAAAGGTATGTATACCGAAACGGGAATGTGATTGATACCTGTCATGGTATCATTCCATTTGGTATAGTCTGACTTTGTATTAGAGAATGAAAAACCGGTTCCAATCGGGGAGTCCACGTATAGCATGTTTGACTCTGCTTATTTCAAGGAAAAGCTATTCAATAAAGAGATGCATTTTTATATACTAAGTCATGGAAATTTTAGTCTTTTAGTAAAAGTTAGCTTTTAGTGACAGAAAATATTTAAAAGAAAGATGAGGTAGCTTTTTGTTATATAAGCTGTTGGGACTAATTAATGCTAAAAGTCACATACTTTTTGTTATATAAGCTGTTGGGACATATTTTTGGAAAAAAAACTTAAAAATTATCATGCCAAACATATAACTAGAAGCTTTTTGAGATTTTTTAAATAGTATAAAAGTTAGAGAGTAGAGACTTATGTCTGTCACACACGTACTTAATACTCGGTATGATATAAGAGCTAAATTAAACTTTAAAAAGGAGTATCATAAAGTTTTTTTGAGAATAAATTGCACTTCTGGTCCTGCGAGTTTTAGGCCAATTCCACATTTAGTCCACATCTATCACTTTGTGCACTTTTGATACATGACTATTGGGTTTTCGTCCATATATGGTCCTTCCGGCGTTGTTTCCGATGCTTAAAATCGTCGGAAAAGGATCACAAATGGTTAAAAATTATTAATCAAGTACCAAAAGTAGACAAAGTGAAAGACGTGAACTAAAGGTGAAATTTGTACAAAACTCGTAGGACCAAAAGTGGAATTAATTAGTTTTTTTGACAACAGAAAAGCTAGGAAAGATTAAACAATTTACAAATCCTCTGGAGCGCATTTCAATTTTGGACAAATCCCAACTGAACAGTTTAATTATGTGTTTTGTCAAGCAATACCTAATACTCATTACTCATTAGGTGGATTTTATTCCCATTATTCTAAATTAGCTGGCTTTTATTCCCATTATTCTAAATTAATTACAAAAGCACACCATATTAATATTAGCTGTTGACTGTGAATTTGAAATGTTTAACTGCAAATTTCATAATAGGTATATAGGTAAAGGTGGTGTTGAGGTTTATTCCGTCAACCCGTAAGCCCAACACGCAACCTAAGGGGTTAGAGATCTAGGGTAAAACAAGTAGATGTAGGAACAGGTAAGAAATGGTCCAGTAAGAAATTCCAATATAAATCTAATGGGTTAGAGGCCTGAGGCCGTTCATCCCCAGTTGTTATACAATGAGAGGACGTTCGTCCCTTGCTATGCTACGAACTAATAAGAATGCTATAATGCTAGAGTGCTAAGTTGCATCCTTTACAATGAAAAAAATGCTACTGTTTATATTGTCAATGGATAGCTTGATGCATTGAATCTTGGCTTCACGCCAAGGGGTGGGCATGTTCGTCCACATGGGTTTGTCTGGCTTGATCCCGACCACCAGATCTTTTGCATTAAATGCGCAACCACCAAATCTTCTGTATTAAATGCAGAATCCTGTCAGGGTCTTGGTTGTCCGCCAAGGGATGGGGACGTTCGTCCCCTTGGGCCTCCTGCTGGGCAAACTCCTTTGAGACGTGCGTCTCATGATGCTCCTGGGCCAAGGTACCCGCTACGCTAGGCAATGTACGTCCCCTGCTCTTGGGCCAAGATACCCGCTACGCTAGGAGATGTACGTCCCCTGGATGGGGAATGGTATCCCGCTGTCTTGGGCCTTCTGGGGACGTTCGTCCCCTTGGGCCTCCTACTGGGCAAACTCCTTTGAGACGTGCGTCTCGTGATGCTCCGAAGCCAAGGAACCCGCTACGCTAGACGACATACATCCCCTGCTCCTGGGCTAAGGGACCCGCTACGCTAGGCGACGTACGTCCCCGGATGGGGAATGGTATCCCGCTGTCTTGGGTCTTCTGGGGACGTTCATCCTCTTGGTCCTCCTGCTGGGCAAACTCCTTTGAGAAGTGCATCTAGGACTGCTCCTAGGCCAAGGTACTCGCTACGCTAGGCGACGTACGTCCCCTTCTCTTAGGCCAAGGTAACTGCCCACGCTAGGCGACGTACGTCTTCTGCTCTTCGGCCATGTTGGGGACTAACCTCGCTAGGGGGTAACCCGTTGTCTTGGGCCTTCTCATGACGTTTGTAGGGTGGGCCTTTAAGGGTTTATGGGCCTTTAAGAGTTTATGGTCCAATCCCCATTGGGCCATTAACCCAACACAAGTCCCCTACTTCTGATGTTCCGAGCGTGCGCGTGACATAAGGAAGTAGAATTAATCTGACGTATGTCGCCTGCCACCTTGGTGCCTCCCTAGTCATAGGCAGAGGGGTACCTCATTAAAAACTCCGCTGAGGAAAAAACCCTATGGGAAAAAACCTAACGGAAGAAAAAGAGTGTACTCCGCTCTGCCATGAATTCTGGAGAGGTCTCACCAAAATGCTTGGGCTTAGGAGATGAATGTCTGGTTGGCCTTAACCGACGCCCCTGATGCGACGGTTGCCTGCCGTATTCTGGATCTCAGAATATCTTATTGTAGTCGTTGGACCTCCGTACCCGTCAGTCTATGTAAACAACTGTACGTCCTCCCGTCTAGAGAAAGGGTATTCGTTGTGTTTTTGGGTTCGTTCATAGGTTGATCAACCCGCGCCCATCCTCTGTCTTGTTGGCATATGTGTGAGGGCTTGGGGCGCCGTTCGGGCCCTTGGCCTCTTTGAGGATTATTGTTGTTCTGAGAACCTCGGCCTCTGAGGTGGAGATGCTTTTCTAGAGACCCTCGGCCTCTGAAGTGGATACATCCGTCTCCAGACCCTCGGCCTCTGAAGTGAAGATGCGTTGTCTTTAGTCCCTCGGCCTCTGAAGTCGAGATGTTTGTCTCCAGTCCCTCAGCCTCTACCTTGGCTTCTCGTCCGTCTTTGGAGACGGACGGGTTTCCTGCTTTTGGGTTTCCCTTGTTATGTTCGTCCAACTTCCTACCACACCGGCAGCTAAACCCTGAGGCCGTACTGCACTGGTTGGTGCTCTTTCATAGCATTATTGTCTTTGGCGACGAGCGGTTTTATCTGTCTTCTGGGAGTTATTTCTCGCCCTCGTTCAACCATCTTCTCACCGGTTCTTCATGCCGCCCTTTGGTCTCACGCTACGCTAGGCCGAAGATCCTGATGAAAAACAGGACGTCATCATGGAGATGTACGGCCTTCAATGGCTTTCGTTCAACCATCTTCTCACTGGTCCTCTGTGCCGCGCTTTGTCCTTTCGCTGCGCGAGGCCGATGATCTTAATGAAGAACAACATTTTGGCGATGAACGGCTTCCACTGATTTCATTCAACCATCTTCTCACTGGTCCTCCGTGCCGCCCTTTGGCCTTACGCTGCGCGAGGCCGATGATCTTGATGAAGAACGTCATTTTGGCGGCGAACGGCTTCCACTGGTTTCGTTCAACCATCTTCTCACCGGTCCTCCGTGCCACCCTTCGGCCTTACGCTGCGCGAGGCCGGTGATCACGATGAAGAACAGAACATCATCTTGGAGACGTACGGTTTCCCATGGCTTTCGTTCAACCATCTTCTCATTGGTCCTCTGTGCTGCCCTTTGGCCTTATGCTGTGACGAGCACTTTGTCACGGTGCGTCAAAATAAATTCAATACTAAACACTTATACGTAGTATAGCGTAGTAGAGTTCGTATCCACAGGGAAAGGAAAATTTCTCTTTTTATGATACTTAGTAAATAAAAGGGGGGATTTGGATTGAGTGATTTAATTTAATTAAGAACTAAGATGAACAACCTATATGAGATTTAATTCAAAGATAAAAAGGACTTGGCATTGCTACTTTCCACTTGTTGATATATTTTAGTCGATCATTGTTATATCTATAACTTATTCCCTCTCGAACACTCAATCGGGGAGTATATCCACTTCATCGAGGGTAGTTATTAACAACGACCGTTCATTAATAACCCTTACTATTAATCAAATATAGAACAACGCCTTATACCGATTTAATAGTAGCATTTAATCTTTCTAACTCCTTGATGAAATCAATTGAGATTGATAACCTCAACACAAGCGGTTTCGGTTTAACCAACAAAATTAATCCCTCTTAAGTTTATTAACCACGACCGTGCATTAATAAACCGAAGTTACTTACTTGTGAAACCATCAACGATTAACCATCGGTTCGTTGATCGTTTCTAGTAATAATTAATATATGAAACAAAACTAGTTGATCTTTTAAGTGATGTTCAAATTATTAATATGAAATATGAGTAGGGATTAATTAATATTCAAGGAAGAATATTATTAAAGAAGATGAATCCTACTATAATTAATATCAAGATGTTAACTAATTGTCATCTTAGCAACACTCCCCAATATTAATATAGAGGAAGAAAATACCATTCTAACTAATGTCGAGATGTTAACTAATTGTCATCTTAGCAACACTCCCCAACATTAATATAGAAATGGTATTAAGGAAAGAACTATTAATTAATATTCTAGGAAAGAAGTTAAGAAAATAACTCACAACTTTAATAATCAACAAGCTTCAAGAGCAACACCAAGAATGGAAGTTTAGCTCCTCATTTGGAGGCTAAACATAGCTAGAAAAATATAAAGAAATGCTATTCTAAACTGAGCTAAAGAGTATGGAAGAAGGGATTATTTTTTTGTGAAGAAAAAGTGTGCTATTTATAGGTGTTTTTCAACACCTTTGGCCGGGTACCCGACCGGGTCAAGTACTACCCGACCGGGTCCGGTCAAAATCAGATAATTCGCCACGTTCTGGTGATCTTCGCACGTCATTTTGTCCCGGGTCACATCTGACCCGACCGGGTCAATTAGGGGACCCGACCGGGTCCAGTGACTTTCTTGGCAATTTCGTCAGTTAAATCATACCCGACCGGGTGGGGGTTTCTACCCGGTCGGGTTTCACTCCTGGGCAGTCAAATTTCTTGTTTTCTTCTCTTCAAAGTCTTCCTTTCCAACACCACTAATCCTAACTATACTTTACAACTTATAAATAAAGAATAAAATACAATTACAACTGAAATTACATAAATGTTTACAAACTAAATAAAATGTCAAACAATCAACATAAATCAAACATAAAAACATGCAATTATGCACTAC